CATACTGACACCAAGTGTTTCCTGCTAAACATAATTTATTTTCTGTCCTGCCCCGCCTTGGGGACAGAAATGTTTTCACGCCCAGTGACAGTGACATTTAAGATTTGAAAACATTAACCCTTGTGCGGTCCATCGCATTTTTTGACCCGGGGGTCACCTAGACCCAAAGGACCTTACAAGGGTTAATCTGTGCCGATTAAATTGAAACTACATTTGTTAGCATATAAAATGAGCTTTTTAAATAGTAGCCTTTGCTACATTCATGTGGATTAGACAAAAAGGCAGAACATACAGTAATAGTCAAATCTTAAAGAAATTAAAATGAACTATTTATCTCTGTGGAAAGATGTGAAAAAGGCCAGATTTCTCAAAACACTGGTGGTTTCTCTTTACATAAAAGGAAGTGAGCACAGAATGATGTGTGGAAAAATTTCACCAACATTATGAAATGCATATCTGTCCCAACCTGTTTCTGTGTTTTCATCAAGTCATAGCACAGGCTGTATATACCATACCATACCTGGTAAATTAAAATTATCAAAAATTTTCTCTGCACAGGGTGTGTGCTTCATACTGTATATGTTTGAGCTAACATTACCCTACCCCTTTTTGTGTTTTTATGTACAGTACAAAATATAAAGAACCGCTGAGGAAACGGCTGCCCCCCCAGTTGCAAAAACATCATTGCAGTTCATTCACAGCTGTGGAATTTATTCAGCAAATTCAAACAAAACATTTTATATTCCTTCTGAATAACAGAAGACGCAGCATCCATCAAGACATTATTCAATTTTTCATGATTCCTAATGGGTGAATTCAAAAATAAAAAAATAGTTACTTCTCAGGCACATCAATACATCACTTTTCTTCTACACATTTACTGATATTCAATAATTAAAAACACGTGACATTTATGGACTGAGGGAGTTTTAATGGAACAGTGTTAGCTATGAGAGAATGAAGTTATTTTGACTTCAGTGCAGTGACTCTGACTGTAGATGAAGATTTCTGCACTTTCTACCTGTTGATCCCAGCATTTTCTGAAAAGCATTTCCGTCTCTCCTGGTGGCCTGCTGTGGAAACAGCAGATGCATACTGTAAAGTACTAGTGATGTATTTTCATGTCAAGGCAACTGCTCATTTTGTTAACCTTGTCCTCTCACCAATCTGGAGGATGAATGGGGGAAAAGCCATCATTTTTTCACACCATTAATACAGAAATTAAAACAAAAAAAAAAAACCATCCATCCATCCATCCATCCGCTTATCCGTTACCGGGTCGTGGGGGCAGCAGTCTCCACCCAAATCACATTGCACTGTACCAACCCCCCTAAACTTCCCTGCGGGTGGTGAGTCCACTGGAAGGTACTCACCACACTAACCGGAATTCGAACTTGGCCAGGAGGTGAACCCTGGGGTTCCACACCAATGACAGAGACATTGCCTCTGGGCCAAAGCACCACACAAAAAAAATGTAAAATCCATCCATCCATCCATCCATCCATCCATTTTCATCCGCTTATCCGTTACCGGGTCGCGGGGGCAGCAGTTGCCACCCAAATCACATTGCACCGTACCAAAGCTTCCTGCGGGTGGTGAGTCCACTGGAAGGTACTCACCACACTAACCGGAATTCGAACTTGGCCAGGAGGTGAACCCTGGGGTTCCACACTAATGACAGAGACATTGCCTCTGGGCCAAAGCGCCACAAAATGTAAAATATTAATTACTTTTTTAATCAAAAAAAGGCCCATCTAAATGATGCAACCCTATGTGCTCAGACAAATAGTTTGTTGTAAATTTTGCCAAAAAGTTACAAAAGTGTACAACATCCATCAGAGTTAGCTCTAGTGTTGGCCAGCATTGGCTCACATGGTCCACCCTGTTTCTGGGTCCACCACCTTGCGGATCACACTCTTGGTGGAGAGTCGAGCTTTCTGCTCATCTGTCATAACTAAAAAAAGTTTAAATTATTAGCTAAAATCATTCAAAATAGGAACGAAAAGACCAGACAAATCATTAGACAACAGAGATGTCTTTGTCTCGTTTCTAAAGTTTGTGTTATTTCACATAGTAACAAATGTCCTTGGTGTCATTTGATATGTTCATACATGACAACACAGAGTCACAGAGCTGCGAAGCTTCCCTTCTACCAAAGTCCATTTACAAAATCAGCACACGTGCACATTGTTTGTCCTTGCTGCCTGCATCACTAAGATCAATGGCGTCACTTTGTGGTTTCTGTGTTTGAAGTGCTTTGGTCAGCCTTACCCAAGTGATGCAAACCTGCCAACTCACGTGGACAAAAGTGAGCTACTGTAAAGTCGCAGATATATTAGTATTTTTAATACTTTATATGACCAGTATTCAATGCATAGGTTTGACAGTCAAATTATTTCAACTTGCCACGTGCATGAGATTGTCTGAATGCAGTTTGAATAGCTAATACTGCGAGTTATCGTCATTTTCATGTAGTCATAAAACTTGCTTATGTACTGTAGCCTCCCAATGTGTGTGTATGCAATTCGAATGTCTAATAACGCTGTGATTTTCCAGCTGTTTTAAACCAGTACCTCACTAAATTAGCTCAGAGTTTACAGTATTGCATAAGCTCGTTTACAAGTCTCTGATATTGGCCTACAGACTTGGATGAAAGTGTATGGACCCCTGACCCCCCTTCCATGAAAATAAGTATTTCTTCCATTGAGTTAGTGATCGCTACACATGTTTTGGTAGGTATATATTCAGTTTATTACCTTTCCCTTTGTGTACATTGGAACTACATAAAAAACGGAGAAAATGGCAAATTTGACATAATTTCATAACCAATTTTTGAATTTTGTGTGAAATTATATCAAAGTTGCCTTTTTCTCTGAGAGAAATACTTAATTTAATAGAAAAAAGCCAAGTGATCACTGTTGATCTTTCATTCTAAAATACAGTGGTATGAAAAAGTTTGGGCACCCGTGATCATTTTCAAGATTTTCCTTTATGGATCATTGGTTGTTTGGAACAGCAATTTCAATTAAA